AGCTGAAAATTCAAAAGATTTAGACTTTTTCGACTTTTTCGGGACAGCAGATTTTTCCTCGTCATTGTGACCGATGAATATCTCAGATGCTTGGAAAAAAGATGTGCCAGCTCGACTAATTTTCACTATTCGTATACTGGTGAGGCCAAACATTCATAAAGTTTAGTGTTGAAAAATATGTCCTTAAAGAACTTTGGGTGTGCCCAAGAGTACGTTATTCTTAACGTCATTCGCATAAATTACTTAAAAAAAAAAGAAAAAAAAAAATAAATAAATAAATAAAAAAAAATCATTAAATAAATGGGAAAATCAAGGCCAAAAAGAGTTTGAATGGAAAATTTATGTACGATCTATCTAATCGTCGTGTGGGATTGAAATCCTTCGTGCCTGCGGATTAAAATACTGTTGATGATGCAACCTGTTGCCCGTGAACTTTTCTTCTAAAATTTATATAATATTTATGTACACGCGTACAATGAAAAAAGTAATATACAAGCCAGTGAATGTCCTGGGATTCTTGGATCGGAATTTTTACAGTACGGCGATGGAAAAATCGGTAGAATGCAAGAAGCGTAGCCTCGTTAGGACACGACGAGCGGGCGCGCGGGCGGGGAAATTTACAGCATCCTCCCTGTGAGTAGTCAACCAGTCAACCGTACTCGTAGGCTACGCCCTCCTTCCTCCCGTTCAACATGAATGAGATTCCACGACATTTCAAGTCAAATCGGAAATTTAAAGCTCGTTTTTAAAGGTGGTCGGTGGTGCGCCTCCTATTCTTCGTCTCCTTTTACCTCGGCCCGCGGATCGAATTTATTCTTCCTTGGCGCTCGGCCTCTCGTCTTTACACCACTCTCTTTTTAAACGCACTTTTCCTCGCACTTTTTCATTAATCGTTTCTCGAAGGGATCCTCAGCGCTTTACGATCCGGGCCAGTAGCACGCCTACCTGACCGTTCACGAAATTACGCTCAGCCTCCATCCCCCGCCACGGGGGTCGTGCCGCCGTGAGCGCCAGAGGCAGTGCGTGGGAAATTTTCAAGGTCCGTGGGCAAGGAGGCGACGACTCTTTCGAGATTACTCAAGCTAATACCACAAGATTAATGGGCATTTTTCCCGGTGGTCACGGGGCCGACTTTGCCTTCGCCAATATCCCGAGGGCCTCGGTCGTCGTTGTTGCCGTTGTCGTCGCCGTCCTCGTCGTCGTTGTTGCCGTCGTTGTTGCCGTCGTCGTCGCCGTCCTCGTCGTCGTAACCGACGCCCAAGGTCGACACCGAGCAGAAAAGCCTCTCGTCGATTCGCGAATTCTCGGCCCGTCGAGTAGAAGCCCCGTGGGCCCCCTCCCGCCACCCGAGCTTGGAAATCCGAGCCTTCGAGCGGCTCTCCCAAGTCTCGCATGTGGTAATCGAAGTGTCTCGATAGCGCCGTGAGCACAAAAAATATCAAAAGACTTGGAAAGTATCACGGCTACGATAACGGGTGGTCGTCTCTCAACATGTGGCGCAAGTCCTTCGTGCCCCAGTATCGAAGGTCGGAGGGCAACACTCAGCCAACGGAGCGTAATTAACCGAAGTGGATAGATAGATAGATGGATAGATAGATAGATAGATAGATAGATAGATAGATCACGAGAGAGAGTTGAGAGAGAGAGAGAGAGAGAGAGAGAGAGAGAGAGAGAGAGAGATAGATTAAGAGCGAGGGAGAGAGCGTGGCGCAATAAAAAAGAAAAAAGAGGCGCCGGTCCGAGTTCTTATCTCTAGCTCTATTATGTCTGCGTCGCTTTCCCGTTTCAATTTTATCTGGCGTCGATTTATGGCGTACCTACGGTCGGCCCGTCGTCGGCCTTTCGGCCGCAAAATTTCTTTGCCTCGTCGACCGTATCCCCCGATCGCTATTGGTGATAAATTTTTCCTTCGTACGAATAGCCGACGATTGTCGCGTCGTCGTCTCCATCGCGCAGGAAT